ACAATAATAACCCTCTTCCTCATACTTCGGTAATGCCAAATGATCATCCACACACCGACAAGAAAGCAAAGTAATCGCCGATGTCACTCGTACAGCTATTCGTTTATTCACATGAGTTGGTGCAGAAATCATAAAAGTCAATCGTAATTGATGACTAACTGACACAAACGGTGTCTCTCCCGAAAAACTGACCGATCCCGAACATTTTGGCAAATGAAGTGACAATATCCTATGGTACGACACATTTCCCACCAAATCAGCTTCGTTCTCCTGATGATTCTCAGTCAATCGCATACTTGCAAAACTGTCACTTTTCAAAGTGACAGCCACTCGTGTCCCCGTGAATTTTTGCCGTGAAGCGAGTTTGTATACTTGTTTTTCGAGAATTTCTACAGTGACATTGTGCAGTCGAAATTTTTTGATTTGTGGGATTACTTTGAGGTCGATAGGAATTCGGCTGCCGAGGGTGTATGCTGATTTCGGGATTGTCATCTCGTAGTTGAAGATTCCTTCTACATCACGTGCGATGTTGATCCCTTGTGATATCACGTGGTCGGTTTGAGTTCGTACCAGTTCTATGATACTGGACATTTGTATGTTGGGAAATAAGCCAGCGCGAAATGCTTTTGCTGATAACTTGTATGCTATAGAGCTGAAATCAGTGGATATCGTTTCTGGTGTACTACCCGGCAGAAAAAGTTCAAATGGGAAAGTGTGTACACCTGATGAGAGAAGATGTGATTTCTTAGTATTGTTGGCTTTCTTTGAAGATTTTTTTATATTTAGAAGTTTGAATCGTGATGGTTTTGGTGTTTGTTCTTGTGAATCGGATAAAGATGATTCTGATGAAGATGGTGGAGCTAGAAATGTCCATTTGTGAGAAATAATTTCTTTGGTTTCAAGAATTCCATATTGATTACGAACGACTCCTTTAACGATATTTGAATTAGTATCAATAATAATAAATATATTTTTACACAAATAATTAAACAACCAAACCAACCTTCTGGTATTCTAATCTCTGCCAATCCATCAAATGACATCTCAATCTTTTTGAATTTCGTCGGTTTACCAAGATTCAGCATTAAATCTCCCCGTAGAAAACATCCATTCGCTTCTTCTTTTGTACCACGAAAAAATAAAACTGGTTCTGCTATGCTTAGTTTTAGTTTTGCTAATGCCCATGCCATTTTTCTTTATTTCTGATTATTTGATTGATGTATCTTGGTTAAATGATAACAAAGGCAGCCAGTTCTTATATAAGTAATTACCGTCCTATAAATGGAATATTATTCTGACTTCGCATATAGCTCTTTCTAGATAAGATCGACATATACTGAAATAACAATGTGGCGAACTTTCTTCAGGAAAAAGCTTACAAATTATCCTTTTGAGAAAATTACTGAAAAATTGATAGGTTATGTGAAAAAATATATATACATGTACATCTCGAAAATGCATAGTGTATTTTTGTGTTTATTAAATGTAACGAGAATAATAATTATTCCCATTATTACCTTTCAAATTTGAGCGTTCTAGTAAAACAATTTTGGTATCGTGATTCCAAAAAAATATCGTGAAAATGATGTATATATCCGTCTCGTGGCGCATTCGGACTTGAGCGTTGTGAGTCGCATGTAAATGATTCGTATGGCAAAAAATATCTGATGTCACCAAGGCCATTCGACAACGCTAATTATTATTAATAAAAACCTAAGAAAGACAAAATGCCTCGGTTTAGCAACAAACCAAATCTGCACCACGAATTAATTTCTGCTATACACTAATAATTGGAATAAAAGTGCGATGGTACGTAATACGAACATTCTAATAAAGAATGAAGCAAGTGCTGCGCCTACAAGTAGTCCGTATCGAATTCCTTATTTTTTGATTTTTGGTGTGAATTCAAGTGTATTTATTTATCGTTATGGATAGTAGGTTGGATCTAAAGAATTTATAAATTAGGGGATATACTAAATTGCGCCACTCACAGTACTGGACAGCAAAAGACATCCACTTTAATTACTTTATGCAAAGTATTATAACTCTAAAACAAATTATCATACAAAAAAAGCTCTTTTACAAATTGATAGCTCTTTAATCAAGTTATAAATCTAAGTGTTTTTGTTTTGATCTATAATACAGTCAAACTTCTCCATAGTCACATTACTCTAGTCATTCTATTTTGCTTTCCCATTTATACATAAACATAATAAAAAAATTTGCCTTTTTCAAGAGTGATATGTATTTCTAGAAATTGGCATAATTATTATATGTATATGGCTTGAACTTATGATATAATTATAGAAAATTTTTATTATATTTATATATAATATAAAATAGCAAAAATATTTAATATTATGCCAAAATACCAATTTTAATTATAGATTTTATGTATAATAATCAATTTAACCAATTAAAATTTCTTATTTTTATTAATAAAAATCTTTAAATTATTATATTTTTTTAAAATAAAATAAATTTTCTTACAGAATTATAGTTTTTCAAAAAGTTATTAATCTATAAAAGAAATTTTTTATATAATTATTAATTATTAAATTATTAAAATTGGAAAAAATATATGTTAAACTATAACTTATAATTTTTGTTTTGATATAAAAATAAAAATATTTATTAATAAAATTGAAAACTTTTATATAAAATAAAAACTTCAATTTTATTATATTTTATTAATAAAAATTACATATATAATTTTATAATTCTGTTAATTACTATTTGTTATCATATTTTATGAATTCTTAAAAAAGCTGGAAAATGCTTAATAATGTTATAATAAGTTACTTGATTAGAGTAATTATAATAAAGTTTATTAAGAATTACAGATAAAAGAATATAATATAATCAAATCTATATAATATATCAAGCATTAAACTATGATTATAATAAATTTAAAGAGAGATAATAGTATATTCATGATGTAATTAGCTAGAATAAAACTAAAATTTTTAATAATAATATTTAATTAAAAGATTTTATGTAATAAATATATAATTTCATTATAAGATATAATTTAATATGGTGCATAATATCTAAAGTCATCAAACGTTTGTATTTTACAAAATGTATAAACATCTTTACAAAGAAGTAAATGCAAAATTTAATCTGTGAATATGATAGAATAGGTCCTTTCTGAGCATATTCACAGATTAAATTTTATATTTACTTCTTAGTAAATATGTTTATACATTTTGTAAAATATAAACGTTTGATGACTTTAGAGGTTATGCACCATAATAATAAAATATAATTTTATTATTAGGTAAATTTATTATTAATTTATTACATGTTTTTAATTGTTATTTATTATTTTTGAGATTCTGAGAACTATAAAATCTATCTAAATTACTAGCTAAGATATATTACTTATATATATTTACAAATATTAGTTTAGTTATAATATTATTATTATTTTTGTTAAAATCTAATTGCTTGTTTTGCTAATATTATATTATTGTTTTCATTATGATTATTTTGTTAGTTTAGCTATAATCATTTTGCTAACTTTACTATAATTATATTATTTGTTTAACCTTCTAAAAGTATCTACAAATAATATTTTATATAACTAATATCCAATAAATTATAAATATAAAATTAACCAATAAAATATTATTTAATTAAATTTATAATATGAATTAATCAATAAAATAAGAATTAAATATTCATATTATAATACTATATATTTTATAAAGTTAATAATAATTAAAAATTATTTTGAATATATTTTTTTTAATTAAATATCAAATTTATATATTATATTTTTAATTTAAATTATTTATTAATGAATATAATATATATATTTAGTTTAAGTTATTTAATATTTTAAATTACAAAATATATATATAATTATATAATTATAAAAGAATATATTATTAAATAATTTTTGATAAAATTAATATAACGATAATATAATTTTTCTGTAAAATTTAATAATAATTTATTATATAATTAGAAATTCAAAAAATATATATTAATATTTTATATATTTTATTAAATAATTATTTAATAAATATTATAAATAATTATTTTATTTATTAATTTTATTAATAATTTAATATTTATAATTTATTTATAAAAGAACTATAGTAACTAATAGAATTATAAAATAATTTTTAATAAATAATTTTTATTTTTATATTAAAATAAAGATTATAAGTTATATTTTCTAGATTTTTTAACAAAATTGCAAAATTTTTTATAATTAAAATATAAAATTAATTATAATAATTTTTATAATAATTTTGCAATTAAAATAAAAAATTTTTATTAATAAAATTATATATAATTCTATAATTCTGTTAATTATTATATATATTTTAGTTAAAAATAAAATAATTATTGGTAATTTAATAAAAAAAATAATAAATATCTTTTTAATATTTTTTTATAATTTTTAATTATTATTTTTTAATTAATTAAATAGTATTTATTAGATATAATTTTTTGTTTTAATTATAAACTTATATTATTTATTTGTAATTTCTTATTATTATTATTACAAACTTATATTTGTTATTATAATTTTTTATTATTATTATGAAATTATATTAATATAATATCAAATATTTTAATTTATTAATTATATAATTTTTTATATATAGTATTATATATAATAATATAATATAATATAATATAATATAATATAATATAATATAATATAATATAATATAATATAATATAATATAATAA